ATTAACATTCAGGGACTTGCTAACGTAGCATTCTATCATGATAGCGCGACTTCTGAGTCTATCCGTGCTGCACACCCCTAATTGATGCTCCTAACCTGGAAAGATTGCAGAAGCTAGGTTTAACTGTAACAATATCCTGGGTAACCAGGATCACCAGTTAATACTATTTTCCACAGTAGAATCTGCATTTGAAAGCCTGGTCAGTCACTACTACTGCTAGTTATTTGTGTGGCTAGTTATGTTTGCCTACTTACACTCTCTGCTTTATGAAAAAGCTTCGTATGTCCCCTTTCTTCTTCTTGGGTGACACAGCTGATCTACAAAGTACAAAAAGGGGGAAAAAAAACGGAATTTTAAAATGTTTTACTCTGGCCTATGTATATGGCAGGCAGAGAGACAGCCCTGGTAACTTACCGTCGGCGTCGTCACGCGCGCACACACACACACACGCACACACCACCCGCTCGCTGCCAGTGAGTGCAAGCACAAAAAGTAGTCCCGGCCCGCGCGTGTAGCCTGCCTGTCAGATACCCCGCCGCCAATCAAATTACGGCGTATCTTGTACTGTCGTCGTCCTGGCCGTTGGAATCGATCCAAATAGCAGCGCAAAGATCCAAATGCAGCGCAAATATCAAAATAGCAGTTCAAAGGAGCTTGCTAAATATTGGTGGGGACAAATTTGTCATCTCAAAATATTGATTGGGACTAGTACCTAGCGTCCCCCCCTAAACCTACGCCCTTGGTTGAAAGATACAGTATACTTACTGAAAGGCATCATAACTCGTGTAAACACTCAATCAGTGTTTCAACAGCGGAAATACGTCAATAAAACGCTTAGTTTTTCACATAGCTTTATATTTACCTCAGGCAAGTCATTCGGTGTCCACAGCTTGCTGGTTTGCTAACTCTTTCACTAAATAAATGCTATATATTAGCCTATATATTATATTTTACTTAACCTGTTTATGATATCTTGATTATTTAATGTATGTTTAAAATAGTTGTCATGAAAATAACAGCAACTGTGTAAATTATTATATAACAATAACAAATTAGAGTAAAAACATGTTAATGCAAAAATTGCCTTATGTGCAGTTTACATGTTTTCATACAATTTGTTATTTGAGTGTTGATTATTATTATATCATTTAGCCTAAAAGTCTAGGCTCTGTTGTTAAGCTTTAATGTTATAGTAATATGTGCAAGTAAGGGCTGTAGTTTACAGCATTAGCAGATAATTTTGTTATCTGTTCTGAAACGTTTACTTGTAATTGAATTAATTTAAAGACAAGGACACAATTTGTTCATTAAAGCACTGTTTAATAAAAAATAAAAGCAATTTTAGCTTTCTAAAGTAGGCTATAATTTGCACGGTTGCTGTAAATCGCGTTGATTAAATCTAACGAAGCTTATCATGTCGAATGCTTTTCCCCCCTTAGTTGGTCAGAACAAAAATGGATGTTACTTACTTGTTCAGAAGACATTTTCTAATGAAAATTCTTATGTTGGTCAAACTTTCAAAAAGTGAATCTGTGATTCTGAATGACAGTATCCACACAGCGCGGTGACTGACAGCACCACTCGCCTCAAAACACTGTGTTCATCCGCGCTGTTTCATGCCGATTTACAACCCACGTAAAGACAATAATTCCGCGAATCACTGCAGTTACAGATTTCGAACAGAGAGATGGCGACAAAGAGGAAAAGCTACGGACTGCAGCTTTAAGGTAAAAATAAAAATACAACCCAGACACATACAGGTTGACTTGCAGCAGGGATAAACATGGTTTGTGCTGAATGTAGTGTGTTTTGCAAAATCAAAACGAATTACAGGCTGCTGAAAGCATAGAACCATTGAAATTCAAGAGACACTGACATCCATATTAATAATCCTGCATATTGATGGGCATGTGCAATTTGCGGTCATATAGTCAAACATTGAAGTGTATTAATATGGACATTTTGCTTATTTTTGTGCAATTTTGGGACTGTGTTTTGATACTGTTTGATGCTCAAATATTTACATTATATGAAAATCTAAAGAAAGAAATTATATATTTATAATTCTCTAAGAAGTGAGGCACTGCACCATGAGCATGTCAAACAGCAGAGGACAGCGTCCCCTAGTGGACATCCCTAATAAAACCCATACATGGCCATTTCAACAGAACAGTGCTTCCCAAACTTTTTCTACCAGACCCCATTTTGTAGAGGAAAAGCCCCCCACACCTAAACACACAAATTTGTTTATATATATATACGTTTATATCTTATTCACATATATCTTTATTTTTTATTTCACTATCTGTACTGTTGTGGTCTCTACTGGAAGCTTCTTCTGTCACCAAAACAAATTCCTTGTGTGTGCAAACATACTTGGAAATAAAGCTCTTTCTGATTCTGATTCTAAAGATACTTGCTTATCATACGTTCCCCTTATTTATTTTATTGTTGCAAAATCATAATTTTGTTATAAAAGCCTATTCGATTACTTTTGACCTAACTCATTTGACTTCATGTGACATTGATTTGAATAGAATAATCCATAGCATATTAATATAGTTTTCCCACTCTTTGTATACATTGAGTATACTCTTTGAGTACATCCTAAAAAGTTGTTTGTATCCTGGTTGTTGTTAAGTGTTATCTTATTACAATTTTCATAATCTGTCTGTAAATGTTAGTATCTCAGGGGATACGTTGCCCTTTTAGAGATATAAAAATAGACTCTGTGGTCTATAAACTTTATACGTGGCCTGTTTTAGAAAATCATTTCAAAACTTAATACTCTTAAATGAAAAATGATATTCAATCATCTAGACATTAATCATTTTCGAATTCAGTTTAGATCAACAGCACATGGACTTAAAAAATTTTATTAGGCAATTTCTGTCAACAATTTCTATGGCAGAAGGCAGGGCCAGTGTCAGGCGGTAGTTTGTCCACCCCAGGGCTTTGGGATTTGTAAAAAACATAACATACACACAGTGGTGGCCAAAATTATTAGAACGGTAACATTTTTTAATGTTTTAAAAGAAGTCTCTTCTGCTCATCAATGCTTCATTTATTTGATCCAAAATACAGCAAAAACAGTAATATTGTGAAATATGTTTACAATTTAAAATAACTCTTTTCCACTTGAATATATTGTAAAATGTAATATATTCCTGTGTTACAAAGCTGAATTTTCATCATCATTACTCCAGTCTTCAGTGTCACATGATCCTTCAGAAATCACTCTAATATGCAGATTTTGCTCCAGAAACATTTATTATTATTATTAATGTGGAAAGCAGTTGTGTACAATTTCTTTTCAGGACTCTTTGATGAATAGAGTTCAAAAGAACAGCATTTATCTGAAATAGAAAGCTTTTGCAACATAATAAATGTCTATACTGTCACTTTTGATCAATTTAATGCATTCTTGCTGAATAAAATGATACATTTCTTTAATTTCTTTCCAAAACAAAAAACCTCTTACAGACCCCAAACTTTTGAACGGTAGTGATAATGTTACAAAAGCTTTTTATTTCAGCTTTACCATCACAGAAATAAATAGCATTTTAAAATATATATTCAAATGGAAAAGAGTTATTTTAAATTGTAAAAAAATATTTCACAATATTACTGTTTTTGGATCAAATAAATGAAGCCTTTATGAGCAGAGGAGACTTATTTTAAAACATTAAAAAATCTTACCGTTCTAATAATTTTGGCCACCACTGTGTGTGTGTGTATAATATATATATATTAGGGGTGGAACGGTACACAGATATATATATATATATATATACATACATATGTGTGTTTTGTATCATACTCGCCCCGTGATGTGTGGGTCTTGAACCCAGGTCTCCGGTGTGGAAGGTGGGCGCTCTAACAAGGAAGCTAAAGACCACAATCTCTAAACGGCCCCCAAATTAATAATGATTTTTACAACGGAAATGAATCAACATTGAACTTACTTAAACTGGACAAAGACTTTCTTCTAGAGCTGCTGTACAGCCAAAACAATCTGTGTTGCATTCATTTCCTTTTATCACGGTAAAGCTGCTTTAAAACAATGTAAAAGCGCTATATAAATGAAGGTGACTTACTTGACCTGCAGAAACTGATGTGCGCTGTTTTCCCCAAAAGCATCGTAAGCACAAGTAGAGCTATTGGCGCCAATGACCTCTACAATCAACTTCAACCAGTCACTGAAAAATACTACAAGCACAGACTGTAACGCTAAAAACAAAAGCATTGTATATAAAAAGTGCTCCAGTGACAAGAAAAACCAAGCCACAAAATGTATCTATATGGTGGCATCAAACATTAATGACATGACAAATAAATGTCAGACAAATATTAATGCATAATCAATATATTTGAGCTCAACCACATAAAAAATAAAATATAGTGTCATTTCTGTGTACAAAAATGTACATTTCTTTCTTTCTGGACAGAACAGTCTTACATTTTGACAGCAGTGATAATAATGAAAAAATGCAATCAAATAATACATGATTTATCGGTTTAGAACCCATTACATGACATGTTGTATTTACAGTAGCTCAGCGTATCACTGGGGTGCAAAGGCTTTGACATTCATGCTCTTTTAGTGCATAAGACAGGTAGTGCTCATGGTTTTCCACACAAATATGGATATATTTCACCCCAAAATTTAGAGAAATATTATAGAGGACTATTTTTGAGGACCAAAGTTGTCGTTTTTATTGCTTGTTACAAAATTCTCATGACGATTAAGTGCATTTCCCTGCTATTTTATTTATTATCTTATTCTCATAACTGTACACTTTGAATTGTATATTGTTTAAATAAACATGTATGTATTATAGTATTTGTTCTATTGCCTGTTATTTATGCAAAATTTTAAAAGACAAGAACTTACTGCTTTTCGACTAACTAATGAGAATTCTGAAAATTATTACTGAATTAATGTGGTATTACATAATTGTTATGAAAATAATGATTCACTCACTCACACACACACACACTGAGGTGAAATATAATGGCCACATGTCTAATCAGTCTACATTTGCACCATTTACTAGCAGGTTCTCTGAACCAACAGCGATGTTTGCCTATTACTCAAGAATCTTGAACCTGCTTTTACACTACATGCACATCTATGGGTCTCTGCTAACCTATACAATCAACTCTCACTGAGGTCTTCATTTAAGGCAAATCTCCACGTCAAACACTCAGCCAGGAGTGGATTTCAGTGCCTGATGATATAACGCAGACCCAGCTAGAACACAATGCCTGATATAGCACTGTCAGTGAAGGCCTCTGAAACCAGCATTTAAAGCAGTGTACAGTACAGCAGCGCATTCTCACCATGGCTCACCATAAACATGTCCAGTAACGTGTGCATTATGATCACATGTCCATTCCTTCCGCTCCAGATTCAAACGCTTTCATTCAGCCCGGCACAATTTCCAGCCCTTCAGTGAGGATGTAAAACGCCTTCAGCTGTCCTCTTCTCTGTATCCAAGAATGCAGGCTGGGACTTTTTTGGTTCTCTGAATTTCTTGAATTTCTCTTTCGCCTCCAAAAATGTTGTATGTCTTGTCATTCAGTCACACTGTCCATTCTGCATCTACCTGTGAGACAAATAATATGAAATTCAGTTATGAAATTAAACTTAAGTCTGTCAATCAGTGGTCTTTTAATAACACACACTCGTCAGAAACTCAAGTTTAAAAAAAAGAAAAAGATGAGCGTATTTTGATCTCAGCAACAAATCTGGAAGTGCAAACACAAACAACTAAGCAGAACGCAAGCTCAACTCTCAATGGGTTATATGGTTTCTGCACAAATCATTTAGGTGACAGGTCCAATAACCAATGACATTTTCATTTTTAATAATTACTGAACTAATATATATATATATATTTTAGTGAATTACTGATTTTTGATTCTAGCCAATTAAATATTTTATAAGAAAAATGTAAATTCAATAAATACATTTCCATGACTGACCTTTGACTTAAGATTTCAGTGAATTATGATTTAAAATTTTAAGAACTTTCCTACAACTTTAAGATTTTATTAATGACCTTTACTTGCCTTACTTTTAACAACTTTGTAATTTCCATACATTTTCTGTGGCATTTTATGTTAGTACTGTTTACCACAACCTTCTCTTCTCTTTTTTTTAATTTTTTTTTAATTTTTTTTAATTTTTTTTTACAATTTTTATAATTTCCTTCAATTCTCTGACTTTTTATGGTAGTATTGATTTCCATAATTTCCATTAATTTTCTTTAATCGTTTACGTTAGTATCATGACTTTTTCCATGACCTTTTACAATTGTATTTGACTTTTTATGACTTTACTGTGACTTTAAGGTTTTTTAATTTCTATGATTTTCTATGGCTTTAAGATTTTTCATTTCTACCATTTTCTATGGCTTTAAAAGTTTTTATTAGGATTTGTATTGCCATGGCTTATGATTTCCATAACCTTTCCTGGCCTGGAAATCAGATTTTTCTAATTTGCTCTCACACTTCTTATTTCTTAGCTTTCAAAAGAGTGTTGCTTCCAGCAGCTCAAGACATTAAAGACATCATGCTGAGGAGCATGTGAGTGTTTCATGCAGTTTTCCCAGCAGGCTTCACAAGGGGCGCTGAGGGTGCTGTTCCACATGCTCTATTATTCCAATCACTATTGAACCAGACAGCTATTTCTGTCTCATATTGATTTGTTTGCCATTGACAAGAGTCTGTCATGTCAACTTACAGTCATATACAAGCGGTCTGCATTATAAAAGAAAATCAGTAGCAGACAAATGCTTGTAACGATGCCATCACGATGTGTACTATATTAAAAATACACACCTACATCCAGCCTCATTCAGCACAATGAAACAAGCCAATCAGAACCCAGCCTGTGTGACTGTACCTGTGGTCAGGGGGTCAGAGAGGGACACTCGAGTGGTAGATGTCCGAGGAGAGGAGATTGTGTCCGGGGAAGAGTGGAGAGGAGAAAAGGAAAGTGAAATGTAGGGTTGGATTAGGAATTCTGTGCGTCTATACCTGCGGGGGTGAGTACCAGCGCCTGCAGGATGTCAGACAGAGAGATGATGCCCTCGATGCTGGAGTTCTCATCCACCACTACCAGCCTGTGCACCTGCAGATTACAAACACAATCAGGCGACGTTCAACTTGAGCGGCGGGATTTTACAACGCGGTCATGTGCGACAGTAACACTCAAAGATGTTCACAGAAAAACAACCGGTTGTAAAAATGTGTTCTTTGTGAACGGCACCAAAGTAGTCAAAATAACTCAGCTGAAATATCAAAATGAAATACTTTTGATCTTGGCATTTCAAGTGGAAGTTGCAATAGTCTTTTCTGCCCTGTTGTGACGTATATCTGATTGAAACACCTTCTTGGACTAGAAAAAAAATTAAAAAGTAGGGCGGGACTTGATTTTGCTCATGGGGAATTGAATGGATGGTTGTGGTTTGCTATTGCTGTGATGTCATGTGAGTGACAGGTAGTCCCGCCCTCAGGCCAGTAAACACGTCATCGGAGAAGAGAAGAGATGCTAAAAGAGGGAGGGAAAGTTATTTTGATTAAAGATTACGAGGGCACGTTAATAATAAAAAAAAAGATGATGAGCACGGATAAAACATTTATACGGCAATATTCCATAAGAAAAAAAGAATGGTCGATTTCATGGTGACTTTAATTGAGTATTTAAATGGATTATTTTCAATGTAGTGAATCTGTGGCATGCTGTCGATTACCACGTAAAATAATTTTGAATTGTGCCATACGTAGACTGCAAAAACCCCCACATTTAAAGTAATGCATAATGGAAGCAGACTTGAGGGTTTAAAAGCACAAATGTTATTTCTTTATCATTAAAAATATGTTACTTGAGGAGTAAAGCATCTAAACGGTCCATTGCAGGTGGGATTTCATTTCTAGTGGTGACGTAACTCCTGTGGGTAGCGTTTGCTCTATGTAAACAGATTTCCCTCCCATGGGTGATGTGTCCATTGAGTAAATCTCACCTCAGCTTTGACAATCCTGTCCACTATAGTGTCCAGGGTCTCGTGCCGATAACACTTCATAACACCCTCAAAATACTGTGAGCGATGCAGCAGAGCCTGAGTCACGGTGATGTCCAGATTATTGTAGGTCTTTTCAGCAGCCAGATTCTACACACACACACACACACACACAACACACCAATGAACAGAGAGCGACGCTATATGAACCTCCACGTACAGCTGAATTATACACTACACAACTACACATCACTAGTCATTACTAATCAATCCTAATGAGTAAACATGCCTATTGTATGGAAATACATATTTGACACACTTTGTTTAAACATAGCTTCAGGTGACTTTTACATTTACTTTATTGTACCCAATGGACCTTATTCATGACAAGCAGAATTAATTTCAATGTAAACTAGATTCAATGGATACAAATGGATTTGAAGGGACATATGAATAGATATATGACATATATTAAAGAAATGAATACATTTATTCTGCAAGGATGCATTAAATTCATCAAAGTGACCGACAGTAAATACATTTACTATGTTACATAAGATTTATATTACAAATAAATGCTGTTCTTTTTAACTTTCTATTCATCAAAGAATCCAAATCCAGAAAAAAATCTTGCTTTTATTGCTTTTACTTTATATAATCAAATCAAAGCAGGTTAAACCTTTGAACGGTAGTTTTGTGTAGAGATTTCTCCTATAAATATCTCAATCGAAATTTTTTAGATTTGAGAAATAGAAAAAAAAAAAATTATATATATTTATTATGACTTTCCAGACACAGAAAACACTATTTAAATTTTCTATGTGATCCTTGTATAATTACAACTAATATTTCATAATGAAAGTGTGGTAAAAAGCTGCTGTATTATTCTTTAAGTAGTTATTCTTCAACTTTAAGTAGTATATTAAAAGCACAACTTACAATGACATCAAATTTGGAGTAAATGTCCACAACCTTTCCTTTGGGAGGAAAAAGATGGAAAGCAAATATGAGACATTCAAATATGTGTACAATGAAAATGTGTTTCTAAGAAAGGCTTGACAGAAGAATGATTACAGAACATGAACTGTTAGAAAAGCAGTGTGTGTTGTTACCTGTAACATCCACCACTGGCAGGGCAGACACTCTCCTGTCCACAAACATGCCCAGCGCTTTAATAATGGGTGTATCTGGGTGAATGAAAGCAATGTTGCTGTACGTGCCAATGCCCAGCTCCTCCAGAGTCTGCCTCATGAAGGCTGCTTTGGGCATCTCACACACCTACAACAACACACACACACACACACTAGTTTGTATGATAATTGTATGCATAAAAGATCAGTAAGCCCAAAGGAAGTGGTGTACTCACAAAAAGCTGCAGAAACTTGAGGATTCTCTTGTGTGTGAGGATGTACAGGGCGTTTCCTGTGACTGGATCGATCACTGGCAAGCGATGGATCTTATTTTTGATGAGTGAGTAAACAGCATCAAATATACTGGGGGGAGGGAAACAGCAAAAAAGCGATCGTCTTTAGATGCTTTGGTCACTTGTGAGGCTGTGTGTGTATGATTAACACCTTTAAGGACTGACTACTGAATGCACATAAAATATGTACAACTGCAGCACCAAACAGCACGTTCTCAATAAAGAATCCTTCTGAAGATACACCCGAGTCTCCTGGTCTTCGCTTCAGAGTTTCCTACAGGTTCATGCATCATGCAATGAAAATGATAAAACAAGGTCTACAAAAATATGACCCAGTGTCTCACCTTGCATCTGGAGATATGTTGACTAAGGGTTTAAAAGTTTCTTGCAAGTAAAGCTCTGTTGATGCAAGCAGAAATAAAAAAGAATCAAAGCACTTTAAAGTTAACCAAAAATGAAAATAAAAAATAAAAATTGAGTGTTATTTACAAAAAAAGAAATTTCCAAACATGGGTGTGAGTAAATAACATGATTTTCATTATCGGGTGTACTATCCCTTCAGTGAATAATACAAAAATCTATATAAATGCCTATGTGTGAGAGTTAAATGAGTGTAAGCAGTGGTGAATTGAAAACATATTTACCTCTCCAAGTCTCAATTTTATGCTCCTCCAGCTCATATATTTGTACCTGAGGCACATATTACAGAATATGACTTAAAATGGACAAACATTCCTCCTTTCAGGCGAGCATTTATTAAGTGAATACATGCAGGAGAAATGGCAAGGCAAAAATGTTTTTCTTTAGATATGGCACTTAGATCTGAACAAACAGCCATTAAACCAGCACTGTTTCTGTGATGTGCGAATCCTTACCAGCGGGGATTTGTAGTATCTGTGCAGTATGATGATGAAGTCTGTGATGGTTAACATTCCTATTGAGAAAACACACCATCATTAGAGTAAAACCTTCTGTTAGCAGCATGCTGACTTATGTGCCTTTAATTTTTGGATAATTTGATGATTTCAGCTTCTAACAAGAGTACTCGAACTCATTTGACCATGTTTGAATCCACTTTCTCCTAAAATATCAGCACAGAAAATGTGAAAAACACCAGCAAATTCCATCTGGCCTGGCTTATATCTAACTGCAACTCAAAACAATCCAGACAGGAAGGAGAGAGCAATGAATTTCAACCAATTTACATATTATTGTTAGCTTGCCAATCTAAGCATGTCCAATTATGTTACACAGGTGAGCAAAAAATGTCCTGAAGCAGTTTTAATTTGATTATTAATTATTTTTGACAATAATTCCAAGACAGGAGGTGTAAGCCAGTTAAATGGACTAGCAGGTTAAACATTTTCTGTCTCTATGGCTGAAAAAAAAAAAGACATAACTCCAGTAAAAGGAACGACAGAAATGCAGGTGAGAGCATGGGCGTGTGTGAGTGTGTGTGTGTATGCGTCCTTGCTCACCCACAAAGCTTTGCTTTTTGGTTTCCCATAATGGGGCAGCTCGAACTCCATTAGCAACCAAGGCAAAAAAAGCTTTCTTTACCTAGCAGAGAACAAAGGATTCACAAAACAATGCTCTTTTAGATGCCTTTAAAAACACTTCTGGAGAAACTGGTCATGTGAGCCAAAAATCACAGGAGACACAATGAGTCAGTGCAACCCGGGCTCAAAAACATTTCCACACCTGACAATAAAATTTGGCCTTAAACAATTCTTACCGGTTGTATTCTGTGTTGATTAAAACATATATTTTTCCCTATGACAACGGGATTATTAAGATGTTTCCCTGCATAGCAACAAACAGATGAACAAGGGAGTCAATCTGTTCTAACTGCTAAAGTAGTTTTCCTACTTTAACCTACTCTAACTTTTTTTTAACTACAGTATTGCTTATTTATTGAAAAGCGACCTTGAGCTTGGGAAAGGAGCTTTATGAATAATTTCTTTGATTAATTATACTTTTATTTAATGGTTTAATGCAAAGAATATTCAATATGTTAGGCATCATAGATCAAGATGACGAAGATGTTAGAAGTCTATAAAATGCTCTTTAGTAGACTTCAGTTTCTATATTTCACTTACATCAGCAAGTGGTTCATTCTTCAGTCCACTAGTGTGTAATGTTTTATTTACTCACCAATGCCATTATTTACTCACATTTGCCACATTTTTGGGCCCTTGGCGCAACATTTCTAACACAAATAGTCTCCAGCTCAAATTTAGACCAGCTTAGCTATCCATTAAAAATTACCTTGGAATTCATTATAGAGGCTTTTTCAAAATATGGCCCATAAACACAGCATTTTTATATGTTCACAATGCAAACAGGCATAACACTTCCTCATTTCGGAAACTTTAGAAAGAAGTACAACAAGTACATCATGTCACTCCCCCAAATATAAAGTCCAGGCATTAAACTGCACTGATCTTCTCTTCTCTAAGCCTTTAATATTTCAAACGGGCCCTCGGCCAGCGGAAAAGTCAACGGGTCAATGGGTTATAAGGATGTGTTAGCCCAAAATCTAATAACAGCACATACCTGCACATGATTACTGATTAACCATAACAAACTAGCTTTATGACCGCTTCCCATACACTTCAAAGAGACCCTGTCCATTTCAGTCACCACCTCAAGATTGATTTACTTATGAAACATTAACCACAACGACTTAAACAATATGTGTTTAAACTGTGAATCAAAACTGAAAGACAATAACTATGACTCATACTAAAGCTAGTATCAGAAAAGCACAATAACAAACTGCACTATTTATTCAGTGGTTAGTATGTACAATATGCAACTTTCTGCATTTATAGAATACCAGAAGGGCAAATCAAGCAAACTGCATGGAATATTATATCCCAAAATGCAATGTGCCCAACTTTACCATTTGCAGTGTGATGAATGGACCAGGTGCAATTACAGCTGTGATTTTTAAGTTCAACATCTCTATTTTAACTTTTTTACTGTCGACTGTCAAAAGTTAGATAATCCAAGATGATGATAACTAGATGACACACACAGAATGAAGAGGACATGACGACAATATAGCATACTACTGTTTTAAATGTGTATCGTATAATTCCCAAGTTTCATGTACTATTTTTAAAATAGAAGGCAGCATAGAGTGTTAACAGAACAATATGCAGGAATTAATAAGATACTTTCCTATTCTAAACATAACCCAAAACACCATAACCAAATCTTTTCTCTTTCTGTTCTTGTACCGGACAACAGAAGACATACAAGATGTAGTAGTTACCTCTAGTGTAGTGTCAAAAACCACTAGTTTGGAACTGGTGGGGACGAGGTCATAGCACTTGTGGGATTTCATAAAGCGCATGTAAATATCACTGTCTGGCTCTTCAGCAGCTGGAAAAAAAAAAGAGAGAAGATATCATCAGAATCATCGCCTAACTCTAATACTTAAAAGGACAATTCACCCAAAAATGAAATTTGTCATAAATTACTCACCCTCAAGTTGTTGCAAACCTGTATGAATTTCTTTCTTAGAAACTCCTACAGGCAAGAAAGAAACTCCTACAGGCAAGAAAGAAACTCCTACAGGCAAGAAAGAAACTCCTACAGGCTTGGAACAACTTGAGGGTGAGTAAATTATGACAGAATTTTCATTTTTGTGTCAACTATCCCTTTAACTCTAATTCAATTATATTTTAAAATCAATATACAATGCAATTATGTTATGAATACAAAGCAAATTTTCCCCCACAAAGCCATGCAAAAACACTACATCCAACAAACATAAGAATAGCAAGAAGCCTTGCTATAGACTATAAACTTGCATTTGAAAGAGTATATTAAATAAAATAAGAAAACAATACAGAGCATAAGTGTAATCCTTTACCTTCATCGTCAAGTTCAAGTTTTTCCAGCATGCCTTCTGCAAGTACGCCGCTCTAAAACACAAACACACGGGCTGATGATTTCATCAATAATCACTTCAAGTTAGCAAGACCCTATTAGAAACTATGGAGTGGTAGCGTCCATTTTTAAATCTGCTTATCTGCAAACAAGTAGTCTGGTTAAAAATAAAATAACACACAACACAAGCAGTCTGCAGTCTATTCACCACATTGAAGGAAGAGTCAGAGTGCTCTTAAGTGTATAATGTTCTCCAGGCACAGGGTTACAGTTAGAGATTCATTACGCGCAGCGCAGTGGTGAAATGAAGGTCTTCCCCGCAGAGGTGACAGTGGAACAGTCCGACTATATTGTTTTTTTAACGTCTGTATTCTTCAGTTAGACCAAACGAGTCGGCACAGGTAGAGTAGCCTACTTCGTTGAGCGTATGTCAACTCTGCATCTGAAGCGATCATTTTGCCCTAGTTAAAGTCGCTCTTTATTGGACGACAAACGAAGCGAACGCATCCAAACAACGCAATGCGAATTCATTGATCATGCATAAATTAAAATTACCCACTGTGGCTTTGTCTCAAACCCTAGCGAGCCGCCTACATAGACAACATTTTTAACCATCCTAAGAGCGTGATCCATACATTGATTGACTCCTCTTGGAAGTCGCTGCAAAAAAGTACACGATGGATCACAGTTTAAGCTGCAGGAAATAAGGTACATACTTTAAGATATTAAGACCAGTGAATCTTCCAAAATCTTATGGAAGCCTGGCTGTTCCAGCCACAAAAACTAATAAAAAAGCGTAACGTTACTCAAAATTTCATCAACGATGTCACGATAGAAAATCTCTTACGACCGTTTTCGAAACCTTTAAGACCTTAATTTATTTTGTTTTCTTTGCCCATCACGTTTTCCATTTCATCTCGGGTTCTTCACTGACACCGTTGTCTCCTTGGTAAACAATTACACAAAATTTTGAAAAATCTTTACAAAATTGTTGGTCATTATGCAAATGACAACACCTCAACTGGGATACAATCGTATTTGATGTAGGCCTAAATCATTTAAAATAAAAATAAAATATTTTTAGTTTATTCACAATTTGTTTAGGTTATCGTAGATTTAAAAATGCAATACTAATATGATGGATTTCCATAAGATTTAAGATTACATTCGGGTCTGCAACAGGTGTAAAACAATAATATATATACATAAAGGGCACATAAAAAAGTAGCAACAATAAATTAAGGGCAGCATGGTTAAAAATAGTTTTAATATTTGTTAACTTTTCAATTTCATAAAATGTGAATGTGCCAATTTTAAAATCATGTTCGTGATTCAGGGTAAAAAAACATTAAAAGTGTAACTCATTTTTGTGTAATCATTTCATTATCTTACATAGTTAGGACTATAGTTGCATTAACTCAATAATAAATGCTTTGCAGTGAACTTCCATAACACACTGTCCAGCACATACTTTACAAGTAATTTTCAAAATATTTTCACAGATTATAGTCATTATAGATATGCAATGCAAGTGAAGCAGACTATGTGCAGTGGATGACCTTTTGTTAATGATAAATACAAATACGAAATAGTCAGTTACAGGCAAGCATCATCAAATTGTCAAGAACGCCTGTACTTGAGCTCAGCTGCACCAGATGGAGCACAAACACATTGCTGACACAATATCAATCCCTATGACATTAACTGTCCATATTTGATGCTTGAGCTACTAACATTTCTAAACAAGAAAAAGCATTTGCCCAACAATTTGTTGTTATTGAAAGATACATCAAACTTTATATGTTGGGTGTAGAAGATTAACAAACTCTTTTTTTTTCTTTTTAATAAATATGCCATTAGTTGGTTGAAGGTCCCTGCTCAAATTGATCAAGCCAATGTTGGTATGGCCCACTCGGGCCATTCAAACATACAGATTGCAATTCCACCTGGTGCCACTAGTGGTGCACAAATGACTTGCTTCACTACGGGACAAGGGTAAACTACAGTAAAGCCCAGAAAGCAGCACATGTGAAGATGTTCACTCACCTGGCGTGAGGTAGAGTTAAAGGTGTGCAAGGCGACAGGGGGTTTGGTGGTGGAGGTGCTCAGGCTGAAGCGCTGACCTGTGTCAGGGGGAGACGAGAGAGAGCGGGAGCGTCGTTCCTCCACACGCTCCGTGGGACTGGGGGTCTCCATAGGGAAGACGGGGGGAACTGGACTCTGCGTCGGGGTGGTGGGGGGAGTCGAAAGTCCAGAACCTGTGAGACGCATCAATATAGAAGAAAATGTCAATCTAAATCTAAATTTTAGCAAATCTAAATCCAGTGTTGGGGGTAACTAATTACAAGTAACTTGAGTTACGTAATCAGATTACTTTTTCAAGTAACTAGTAAAGTAACGCATTACTTTTAAAATTTACAACAAAATATCTGAGTTACTTTTTCTAATAAGTAACGCAAGTTACTTTGTTTTCCCCTTTATTGACTGACAGCTCTTCTGTCCTAATGTTGAGACAAATCGAAGTGCAGAGGCGTTGTGTGTAAACATGATGGTTATTATAGTTCTAGATTAAATGTCAGCGTGGATTTACTCATCTCACTTGCACAAAAAAAATTCAATATTCCTCAAAATGAAATCAGTGAAATGCAGAATCAGAACACTATGCAAACCTCCAATACCTAAATATGTTAAATAAAACATAAATTTTTATGCATTTAATCTTTATTGACCAAAGTACTTGCTTCTGACCTCCGATTTTTCAGTTAAACCATAAGCAAAAATGACTATAGATTTTTTTTATGTTTTTATTGGTAAAGTAAGTGTTAAATTTGTTTCTCCTGCATCCTCTTCTTCTGTTACCCAGAACAGAAGCAGCTGAAAGGTTTGTTTGAGCGGCGCCCTCTACTGTACTCTACTGTACAGGAGTAAATCTGCATTTCCTTAAGTCTGAGGCTTATTATTTCACTTTTGGTGTCAAAGGGTCTTTACATTTGCCCAAAAATATATCTTTTTTGGTATAAAAAAACAAGCCCAGCCCAGGTGGAAAAAAAGTAACGCAAAAGTAACGTAACACATTACTTTTCTAAAAAAGTAACTAAGTAACGCAATAAGTTACTTTTTAAGGGAGTAACGCAATATTGTAACGCATTACTTTTCAAAATAACTTTCCCCAACACTGTCTAAATCTGTGGCATCATAGGAAAGGTGTTCCTACAACAACATTAGGCAGTAAAAAAAAAAAAAAAAGTTTATATAAGTTTGGGTACGATTTCTTTTATGTTTTTAAAAGAAGTTTCACCAAGGCTGCATTTATTGAACCAGTAAAAAGTAAAAACAGTAATACTACAGAAAAAATAGGAATATTGGGAAATATTATTACATTTTAAAATATTATTACATTGTTTTGTTTTTCAAATGTCATTTATTCCTGTGTTGTCAAAGCTGAATTTTCAGCATCATTACTCCAGTCTTCAGTGTCACATTACCCTTCAGAAATCATTCTAATATGCTAATATGGAGCTCAAAAATAATTTATTGATGATTATTGATGCTGTTTTCCGTTTCCGCCAGAAACTTTGTGTTTGTTCGCACAATGTTTGTGTTCCCCTAAGAAACTTTGCGTTCACTCACAAAGAACACAAAAGTTCTTTACGCAAACGTTTTAGCAAGGGAACGCAAAGGTTTTGCGAGCGAATGCAAAGTTTATTTTTAAAACATTTGCGAGAGAACACATAAGCATTGATTGATTTTTTTCCACTACCATGTCCCCTTATTGGCACTTGTAAGTTTCAAAGTAGAAGTAGAAGCTTATCTTTTTATTAAAGCACAAAATTGAGTAAAATGATTCAGTACAAACTCATGCATTATTTAGGCTTTAAAGTTTGTTTAAGTATTTCATTTTGAAGGGGATTTCCATTCCATTTGAATTAAACTCTGGTTTTGCTTTACCAGTATCAAACAGTTCTTTTCTGGTAACCTTGCGTGTATCAAGCAAACGTTACAGGGCTTATTATGTATTTTTTATTTTATATGGTTCTTAGACTAAAGGTTCTTTTATATGGTTCTTGGACCTCTTTACTTGCAAGGGGTGTGTCTTAATGTAAATGCTATTCTAATAATTTTCTGTGGTAATCAAAATGATGCCACAAATGTGGTTGACAGAGCTTAACTTGTATTTAACCCAGAACATTCCTTTGATTGAATGTTACTATAGAGATAATCACTTGTGTTTAGAGCTGGATTTATCAGAGATACCAAAGCAAACAGTGTCTCATATGACAGTCCTGACATAACCCCTCCTGTACTGCATGCATTGATATATTACTGTACCAGCCTCTACTAATACTGCCATATCATGATCAAAAGGTCATCTGCTCTGAGGAAACTTTAAAGCTGTAGAATGGAGCATATCAGTACATTCATTCAGCTGAGGGTTGAAGTAACTAGATATATTCAGGACAGGTTAGGCTCTAACTCGTGTATCTCTGCTTGGCTACAGCAGGTCACTATGCTTGATCTACATGATGTTTCAAAAGGTTCTGTTTTGGACTGGGAAATGCGTATGGCATGGTTTTGGCTGCACACAGCATTGGGAAGTGATTCAGAAGATGGGTTTCCATCATTAGGATATGGTTTGATTTATGAAATGCACAATTGTAGTCAATTAGTGTAGTGTTGACACAGTAGGATTAGTTCTGGCAAGCCTCCTTGTTGTGCAGGAAGGGAAGGGTCCATGTTAGACGTGGGGTCAGGCTGATATTAATTAATGCTGGCGTTCCATTAGCCAATTTTTAGCTGTTCGTCAGTCATTAACGTCATTTAGCCTACATAGTCGCTTAAGAATCACATTGAGTCTGTGCATGGTCACACCTCTCAGCGTTTGGTTTTGATGGGACAGACTCTCATGACTTTTCACATATGAAATAGTAAACCGTGAATAAACAGAATCCTGGGTTATCTTGCTTCATGTTTCACATTGCTCATAATTAACCCAGGGTTAACAATTAATCCTGGGTATTTATAATATGATGTTTCACACTGCACATTCCTAAACACTGGGTTAACATTTTTATTGGCATATTGCGGTACCGGTGTCATTGACTGGAAACATTCTATAACTGCACCGTTTTCCACTGAGTACGTTTGGGTACCAGGTTAGGCTAACCCTAACTGCAATGTGGGGTTAACACTGCAAAGGCTGTGCTAACCCTGCTTTCATAACTGGTTTCACAGTCCCGGGTCAAAAGCAATGCTAACCCCACTTCTAAAGTGTAAAACGGGGTTTAGTACAACTATAGCCCAGAGTTTGAAAAGGACCACGTTGACTTTCAATGTTTCTAAAAAACTGTTATTGCCTACACATTTTTCAAAATATGTTCTTATGTGTTCCACAGAAGAAAGAAAGTCATTTTTGGGTAAACGATCCCTTTAAGATTGCCTGTTCCTAGACCTCCAGGGCAGCATCACTTCTGCCTCTAAACCAGAGGTGTCCAATCCTGCTCTTGGAGGGCGATCTTCTGTGGAGTTTAGCTCCAATTTTGAAGCCTGGACTTACAATTACTGCCGCATACGCATGTCTGTTAAGTCCATGAGACTGTAGGGTTTCCCATACGTCATTTTAGGTTTCAGAAGGGTGCTCGAGAGTGCCCCCTTTGTGGCCCTCGATGTGCACTTTTGCCGAGCCCGCACCGAAGCGAGCTCCGCAAACAGACTTCTTCCCGACAGTTAGGGGTTACATCACGAAAGTGCAGATTTGTAGAAAGACTGTGAGTGTTTAGGGTGCCATTTGAGACAGGGCTTTTCAGTCTTTATTTATTGTTTAATGTCCATCTGTAGTCCCATTTACCCACTTGTAAGCAATTGCCTTTTTCAAGACAAGTAAAAGCTTTTTATTAAAATCAGGAGGGGGTAGTATTACTGATGTATCTATGCCAAAATAAATCCAAAAAGCTTGTGATAACCACAGACCATATTTATGTCATTTAACCAAAACCACTTCAAAATACCCACTGACTTCAGGTTGATGGAACTGGAAGTAAAAAAAATGCTAACTTGTTTCTGGGTTTTGGCCTACGAATGTTTTTTATTTTTTATCCCTGCAGCACACATTGATAATGGACCTTTTTGCCTGACCACATCTTAAGGCTCGTACACACCGGGACGAATATCGGCGCGCGTTATTCGGCAGCGTTTTTCAACGCGTTTTTTGTGTTCACACCCAAGCGATTTTCGCTGACGATGAGCCGAGTGGACATGCAAATTCATTCCCTGACATTAGATGGCGCCCATTTGCTCTGCAATACCACTCCATAACATTCTCTTTTATTAAGATGTAGATGTAGTCGCTGTCGCGTTTGTCATATAGTTCTTTATGTTTCTACAGCAACGAGACCAGCAGCTCTACATTCATCTTGCCTTGCATCTTCCTCGTCTTATTTCTTCTGAGGAAGATGCAACTTATTTCTTCTTCACCATGTATGTGTGCTCGGCAAGACCGTTTTGTGTTTTAGCGCCCCCAAGTTGTGTTTTCCTGTAACTTCAGAAGCTCCAGACACGTGAGCAAAAGCGCCGATCTCATTGGTCGGATAGTGCACGAAAAACGCCACGCGTAAAAGCGTAATTTTTTTAAAAACGCCTCGGGTTCGTTTTTTTAGTTTGACGCGCTGCGTCAAAAACTATCCGACCAGTGAGATTGGCGCTTTTGCTCACATGTCTGGAGATTCTGAAGTTACAGTAAAACACAACTTGGGGGCGCTCAAACACAAAACGGTCTTGCCGAGCACACATACGTAACGGCGAAGAAGATATACGCCAAGTAGCGTCTACACTGCCGGGAAGAAATAAGACGAGGAAGATGCAAGGCAAGATGAATGTAGAGCTGCTGGTCTCGTTGCTGTAGGAACATAAATAACTAGTTATATGACAAACGCGACAGTGACTACAAAAATCTTGATAAAAGAGAATGTTATGGAGTGGTATTGCAGAGCAAATGGGCGCCATCTAATGTCAGGGAATGAATTTGCATCTTCACTCGGCTCATCGTCAGCGAACATCGCTTGGGTGTGAACACAAAAAACGCGTTGAAAAACGCTGCCGAATAACGCGTGCCGATATTCGTCCCGGTGTGTACGAGCCTTTAGTCTTCGTCATAACAGCCTCTCCATCCCTCCAGGCCTTTTCCTCCAGCATACTGGCTAGGTGGTTGCATGAAATACACTACAAGCTTTCTCTGTCACCCCTTGATTTATGTCGGTAAATG